GAGGTCTTGGGCCGTCGAGGTGGTGGCCTCTGGCCTCTCGGCCATTAATAGCGCAGCGTGAGACGCGTTCGGAGCCTTGTTTCTCATTCTCTATTTCCGCCCGTGGTCTCGCAGCATGCTGAAGAGACGAAACAAACAAGAATGCCGGGACCGGGCTGCGTGGCTCCAGTTCGTGCAGACGCCAGCAGAGTGGCCGGTCGACGTCGGATCAAGGTAGAGTTGATTGTATGCTTAATCTGCTAGTGTCCACGTACCAGGGAGGGCGTGGCATCTGCCGTGCTTTGTATGGTCTCGACTGGCATGGTATGGAGAGGGGGGAACATGGGCTACGGGAACACGGCACTGGAGAGGAGGGACGATGATGTTTCTCTCTGCTCTGTCCCGCGCTTTCCTGCCTGCGCTCTCCTTCCTGCACTTGCCTCGCCTGCCGAGGCCAAGATGTGGCTCAAGACGTTGTGGCTGTCCATGTGCCTTCCTGGATGTGCCTCCCTGGATGTGCCTACCTCGATATCCCTTCCTGGAAGGCAGGACCACATTGCCAGAGGCCCCGCTAAAGGAGGCAGAGACCGGCGTCTGGTTGGTCGCATCTCACCATCTGCCCTGTCGAGCCTGTTCGAGTCACGCTGGCCCCCTGTGATTCGCCAGACGCTTGGCACCTTGGCGTCTATCGCTTGGGCGCCTCTTGGCGCTTGGCGTCCTCCGAGAGCCCCTCGTCTTTCTGGCCTTCTGGTCTTCTGGTGCAGACTGATATCTGAAGCTTCAAGCACGGCACGACAGCATTGCCGTGTCTTGGAGATGCTGCGGAGCTGATCAGCACTGGAACTTTGCTCTGCCATCATGAAACCGAAACCCGTTGTTTTTGGAATCGTCTATTGACAGCTACCAACAGCGTCCTCCCCAACGCAGGTACCTTGCCTGATCCGCCTGCAAGCCCTCTCTGCCAACGCACTACGGAGCATATCGGACACGAGAAGCCCAGCCGCCGCATCATCAGCCGAAGAGAGATGAGACAGCTGTGGACGGACCATTTGCCTCACCTGGTGGCGTTGCGCGCTTTGCACCCTCGACGAACTTCTTTGCCGTCTTTCGCAGGTCTTCGGCGTAATGTCAG